TTTAATCTCACGCTTGGTGTGGGTCAAAATCTAGTTTAATATATCAGAGAAGTGGGCCAATCCTCAAAAATGATACCATTAAAACGAGTTTTATTCGGTCTGTCTTTAAGGTATGATGATGACACTTTAGACCATCTCTTATGCATTTCTCCATTTTTTTCTTCTAAAATAGAGTAAAAAATAGCAATCCTCAATTTTCACTCCATTGTATCCCTATTTTAGAGGAATTGCTATTTTTGACTCTATTTTAGGAAAAAATATAGCATTCCCTACATTTTCCTCCAAATATAGAGAAAAAATAGCAATCTCTATTTTAGAGATGAAAATGAATGAATGTCTCATAAACTCATGTTGACTAAGTCAATGTCTGAGAACCGCTAGTTATACTATGTGTTTTTTTATCTTAGTTGTATCAAATAACTAGTTGTACCATGCCTTGATAGTTGTACAAAGTAATATCTAGTTGTACTGTATTTTAATAGTTGTATCAAGTAATACTACAGTTGTACCAAATATTACTACCCAAATTATACCAAATAGGAGTATTGGAGAAAAGAGTATACCGGATAATAGAGGAGTAGGCCAGAAAGGAGTAGACACAGATTGAAGTATTTCAGACATTTGTCTGATGAAAATAGAGGTGGGTTAGAGAGAAAATAGAAGATTGCTATTTTTTTCTCTATTTTTAGAAAAAGAAATAGAGGTGGGTTAGAGATCTTCTTAGCGCTTTGGAGCTAAATAGTCTTTATAACCCATATCAAAACTTTTATCTTTGAGTTAAAAAAAGTGAGGGAGAATAATGCCCCTAAAAGTAGAGCATTTGCCCCCACGCAAATCGATCCTAACATGACATGGGGTCAGAAGATTTTCACAAACCATCAATTTGACACTTTAGAATATGGGAAGTCCTCTCTAGTGGGTTTCTTCCCACAATTACCTTATCATAACTTGATCGAGCATCCAATTATGCTGAATGTTCACGTGTGGCATGATTTAAAATATCTAAGGGTTACTTGGGATGATGGTTCTCCTACCTTTCCATAGAAACCATAAAATCTATAGGCTAGTTCCCTATTCATTTCATCAGCGATAAGCATATTCACTTCCTTTTATCACATTCAAAAGATCTCATGTAAATTCCCAAAAGAGTTCTCTAAAATAAATAGTAGCAATAATCTCCATACATTTGTCTAACTCCACCCATAAATCTTTTGGTCCTTAAAGCTTGAGCAACTCCAACCACAACACTAAATTTAGTGTTGAAATAGCACCAAATTTAGTGTTATAGTGTATTTCATCTCCAACCACAATACCAAATATTACATTAAAAAAA